CTGGTTTCCTTTCTGACATGACTTTATAGATGCAACACCAAAAGCATAAACCATGAAAGAAAAAAAAAAAAGCCTCTGCCTTGAAAAGAAAAACTGGAGAATCAACAACTCTTCTTAGATCTTTCAGAGAGTTGAAGTCACAGGGCAAACTTCTTCGCCCCAAAACTAGAGAGAGATACTGAGAACCACAGATTACCAGGAACAGAAGCCAATGGAGCCAGGAAGTGTTAGGAAAACTTAAACTGTTATCTTTAAACAGCAGGAGCCTGAATGTGGACTTGCTTGAGAATTAAAAACTGCTGAGGGCCTAGTCTTCACTTTCAGGAGTTCTACTTCCAGAAGCTCCACAAGTTCTCACAGTGAAGGTCGGAGACATATTCCCTCACACTTCTAGCAGGGAGAGAGGAAAGTAACCATGTAAAAAAATGCCCAGAGCACTGTGTTCTCCACCTGTCCTAAAGTCCTAAACGACTTTAACATGGAAAAAAATAAAAATAATAAAATAAATTTTTATCTGAGGAACATGAACCCCTTTAAATCATCAAGCCAAGACAGATATTGGGTGAAATAGGAGTGAGGTCACCTCTGAGCTACGAAATTACCTCTTGAAGCCACTTGCTCCACAGGAGCTAAGTTAACTTATACCAACTAGCCATAAAATGCTACACATCCCATAGTCTAACAATGTATAGCCAAGACTTGCTATAAATCAATATTAGTAGACAGTGTAGTATTGACAAAAGAATAGACAAATAAGTCAATGGAAAATAATAGAGAGCTCAGAAATAGACTCGTACACATGAAGTCAACTGATCTTTGAAAAAGGAGCAAAAGCAATTCAATGGAGAAGGGAAAGTCTTTTCAACAAATAGTGCCAGAACAGTCGGGAAAAAAAATGAGTCTAGACACGGACCTTATACCTTTCACAAAAATTAACTCAAGATGAATTACAGACCTAAATGTTACATTTAAAACTATAAATCTTCCAGAAGATAATACAGGGAAAAAACTAGGTGACCTTGTGTTTAATGATGACTTTATAGATGCAACACCAAAAGCATAAACCATGAAAGAAAAAATTAATATGTGGACTTCGTTACAATGAAAAACTTCTACTCCATGAAATATACTGTTAAGAGAATGAGAAGACAAATCACACACTGGGGGGAAAAATCTTTGCAAACATATATCTTACAAAGGTCTTGTATCCAAAATACAAAGAATTCTTAATACTCAAGAATTAGAAAACAAACAACCCAATTAAGTAATAGGCAAAAGATCTGAACAGACAATTCACCAAATAACATAAATAGATGACAAATAAGCACATAAAAATGATCATTATATGTCATTGAGAAGTTGCAAATTAAAAAGAGATACCACAACACACCTATTAGAATATCTAGAATAAAAAAAAGATAATATCAAATGCTGACAAGGATGTAGATGAACAGAAACTCTTATTCATTTGCTTGTGGAAGAACAAAATGGAACAGCTACTTTGCAAGAGCATTTGGCAGCTTCTTACAAAGCTAAACATAGCCTTAACCGTAAGATCCAGCAATCACACTTCCGAGTCAAAAACTTATGTCCATACAAAAAAAACTGCACCTGAATGTTTATTGTAGCTTTATTCATAATTGACAAAAACTGAAAGAATCCAGTTATAGGTTAATGGATAAACAATGGAATATTATTCACAACAAAAAGAAATCATCCGATGGCATCCAAATTGGAAAGGAAAAAGTAAAATTATCTCTGTTTGCAGATAATATAATCTTGTAGGTAGAAAACCCTTTAAAATTGAACTAAAATAAACCTAAAACTAATAAATGATTTCTGAAAGGTAGCAGGATATATTACACACATAAATTGGTTGCATTTTTATACACTAAAAACAAACAATTTAAAAAGAAAATTACAACAATTTCATTAATGATAGCACCAAAAAGAATAAAATACTTGGACATTAATTTAACCAAAGAGGTAAAAGAATTGTACAATGAAAACTATCATTTTTAATAGAAATTAAAGATATAAATAAGTGGAAATACATCCTATGTTGATGGATTAGAAGACTTACTATTTTAAAGATGGCAATATCACTCAAAGCAATCTGTAGATTCAAATCCTCATCAAAACTGCAACACTGATTTTTGCAGAAATAGAAAAGCCAATCCTAAAATTTATATAAAATATCATGGGACCTCAACAGCCTAAAGAACCTTGAAAAAGAAGAGCAAAGCTGAAGGACTTACATCTTCTGATTGCAAAACTTACTACAAAGGTATAGTAATCAAAATCGTGTGACACCAGCATATAGACCAATGGAATAAAATAGAGAACCTAGAAATAAACCCTCACATATAAGATCAAATAATTTTTGACAAGGGTACCCAAACTATTCAATTGTCTTCAACATGGCACTAGGAAAACTGGATATCCACGTGAAAAACAATGAAGCTGCACCCTTAACTAACACTACATACAAAAAATTAACTCAAAAAGATCAAAGACTTAAATGTAAGACCTAAGACTATAAAACTCTCAAAAGAAAATATAGGGCAAAAATTCATGACTTTGGGTTTGGCAGTGATTTCTTGGATATGACACAAAAGAAAAAATAGACAAATTGAACTTCATGAAAATGTTAAAAATTTGTGCACCAAAAAAACTATGAATGGGATAAAAAGACAACTTATAGACTAGGAGAAAGCATTTGCCATTAATGTATCTGATATGGGATTGATATCTAGACTATATCGAGAATTCCTGAAACTAAACAATAATGACAAAAACCTGATTCAAAAATGGGCAAAGGTCTTGAATAGCTTTTCTCCAAAGAAGATATACAAATAACCACTAAACACAAGAAAAGATGTTCAACATCACTGATCATTAGAGAGATGAAAAATCTAAACTACAATGAGATACCACTTCACATTCATTAGAATGACTACTATCAAAAAGACAGAAAATAACACGTGCTGGTGAGGATGTAGAGAGATTGAAATCCTTGTGCACTGTTGGTGGGAATATAAAATTGTACTGTGAAAAAAGCTGCTGTGAAAAAGAGTATAGCAGTTCTTAAAAAATTTTTAAATAGAATACCATATATCGTAGCAATTCCACTTCTGGTTGTATATCCAAAAGATTGAAAGCAGGTCTTGAAGAGATATTTGTATACCCATGTTCATTGCAGCATTTGCAATAGCTAAAACATAGAAGGTACCCAAGTGTCCATCAACAGATGAATAAAAAGTAAAATGTGGTATACACTTCAATGAAATACTACAGCCTTAAAAAGAAAGGAAATTCTGACACATGCTACAACATGGATGTACCCTGAGGACATTATGTTCATTAAAATAAGTCAGTCACAAAAGGCAAATACTGCATGATTTCACTTATATAAAGTAGTTGGAGTTGTCAAAATCATAGCGACATTAAGCAGAATGGTGATGGTTACCAGGGGCTGGGAGAAAGGGAAACACAGTTTAATGGATATAGAGTTTCAGTTTGCAAGATGAAAAGAGTTATGGAAATTGCCACACAACACTGTGAATGTATTAATGCCACTGAACTGTACACACAAAAATCGTTACAGGCTAGGCGTGGTAGCTCACGCCTATAATCCCAGCACTTTGGGAGGCTTAGGTGAGAGGATTGCCTGAGCCTACGGGTTCGAGATCAGCCTGGACAACTTGGCAAGACCTCATCTTTACAATAAGTAAAAAAATTAGCTGGGCGTGGTTGCGTGTGCCTGTAGTTCCAGATACTTGTTAGACTGAGGTGGAAGGATCACCTGAGCCCAGCAGGTCAACTCTGCGGTAGCCACGACCATACCACTGCACTCTAGCCCGAGTGACAGATTGAGATTCCAACTCAAAAAAGGTTACGATGATAAATTTCATGCTGTGTGTATTTTACCACAATAAAATACAAAATAATGAAAAGGAAATAAATCGGTCATCAAACCACAAAGAGGCACGGAGAAGCCTCAAATGCATACTGCTTAGTGTAAGAAGCCAGTCTGAAAAGGCAGCATACTACATGTATGACATTTGGGAAAGACAAACCTCTATCAATAGTAAAAAGATCAATGGTGGCCAGACATTTACTGGGAGAAGATGAAGGGCGAATAGAATAGGGGATTCTTAGAGTAGTAAAACTTCTATATGATACTGTCATGATGGATACATGAGAGACGGGAGTAGACCAGGTCAGTGTTTTGCAAACCTGGTTTCTTCCCTCCTTGTCCCACCTGCTGCCCCAGTGTGTGTGAACAAAGGGAGTTGGGAGGCCAAACAGACCATTCCACCTGAATCTGCATGAAATATTGTGTTTCTCCACATGATTTCACTCGGAAGAAATTGTAGTGTTGAAATAAAATATTTGGAAACCACCATATACAAGACCAGCGTATGTCGTCCAGTTCTTATGCTCCTCAACGCTAAGATTCTAGGGTATTAAGACATGGCTCCAGGATTCTATCATTCCACCAAGGTTTGTGGAGCTGCTGGTCTGGGATTTTAGAGAAGCCTGCCTGGTTTAGAACTGCGGTGACCTGGGTGTGATGGAGAGCACAGGCAAAGCCCTGGGGCCCATTCCCGGTCTCCTGGTATCCACAGATGGGCAGGCCCTTAGCTCTCTTCACTACAAACTCAGTTCCCATTCTTTTATTTTCTAGAGACCATTTCAAAGAAATCAGATCCCTTAATAATCCAATGAGGTCATTTCCTACACTTTGTAGAGCCCGACCACATATCCTTCTGCCTCTATGCCACAAAGTCTAAGTAAAAGACAGAAACTACACAACTTCCTTCTTTCATTATTTGGAAATCACCTGAGGATCTGCTCCCTTACTCAGCACATTTCAGGATCTTACTTCATCCTTCCTTAATTGTGACATTTTTCAGGCCCTCTGCTCCCTATAAAAGGCAGGCAGAGCCACCAGAGAAGCAGAGAAGCTGAGACCAACCGAGAAACCTCCAAGTCTCATGCTGAAGTTCCTGTCCTCACCCTCCAACATGAAGGTCTCCGCCGCGATTCTGTGCCTGCTGCTCACAGAAGCCACCTTCAGCCCCCAGGTGCTTGCACAACCAGGTAAGCCTTCTTCTTCCCTAAGGATTGACATCTCAACTACCACAAGCACTGATATCCTGTTGCATACTATGCATTTTAAAGGTGAAGGAAGAAAGGGAGACCAAGAGAGGAATTAAGAAGACCCATTATGTCACAGCTAGTCAGAGACAGAGCCAGAACCAAAGGCCTGGGTCACTGAGTCCCCATGATCTTTCCTGACACCAGCTTTGGGAAGAGACACAGTGCAGCCATTACATCGACAACCTTCCCATTGTTTGGGGAAGTGGAAGAGACACAGTGCAGCCATTACATCGACAACCTTCCCATTGTTTGGGGAAGTGGCACAGAAAGATGAATCATTTCTCATTGTGGGTGTGAAGGACATTTCAGGCAATAGTGGAATGGATTGCTTTTTAGGTTTCAAAGTTTGAATTACAGCCCAGTGTAGCTTCCAGAACAGTGACTCTGTAGGGGGGACAAGAGAAATCTCAGCATATGACATAAGATGGCTCTGAAGCCCGTGGGGACAAATAGCTGGGAAGCAAGTTCTTAGCATTTATTTCCCCAGTGTCAGAAGTTTTGGATTAGTAGACAAGGATCAGCTTGTGACTCGAGATTTTTCCATACACAGTTAGCAATGAAGGTCCTATAGTTCAGTAGAGGAAACTGATTCATTTTGTCCTATAGTTCAGTAGAGGAAACTGGTAACATTTTGTCTCTGGGATCTGGACTAAGGCACTGAACTTGGAATGGTCACTCCTAGGTCTTCTCCCACCTTTTCCTATTCCCTTTCAAATGCACACTTACAATGTATCCTGATTGTCTCATTCTTTGCAAAATTTCTTTCAGATTCAGTTTCCATTCCAGTCACATGCTGCTTTAATGTGGTCAGTAGGAGGATTCCCACCCAGAGACTGGACAGCTACACAAGAATCACCAACGTCCAGTGTCCCCAGGAAGCTGTGATGTGAGTGGACAGTGCCTAGCCCCATCAGCCGGAAGTTCCAAGGGACAAGGGAGAGAGATCAGGATTAATGTCCAAATAAGTCAGATAGATAGACCATCTAATCCAAGGGGCTCCTTTACACCACAGAGAAACTGAGCCCATGATAAGAAGTCCAGAGTCACTCAAGGCTTTCTTTCTAGGAGCTTGGTGAGAATGTCCCAGTACCTTTAGTCAGAGCCTGGAGGGCTTCACCTGGACAGCAAAAGCAGAGCTTTCTCCTGGAGTCTCTTCCTCCCATCCTTCCCCTCCCTCCCTCCTGGATCTATGCCCATCACCAAGGAAGCAGAGATTGATCAGGTCTAGGGGCCAATGGCAGAATCCTCAAGGCACACCATTTAACTGTGCCTTCTTTCCTCACAGTTTCAAGACCAAACTGGCCAAGGAATTCTGTGCTGACCCCAAAGAGAGGTGGGTCAGGGATTCCATGAAGCACCTGGACCGAAAGACCCAAACCCTGAAAACTTCAACTATCACACCTGGACTGACAGTCAGAGCCTGAGGAAATTCTTATTTATTTCCCCCATACTCCCTCAGGGGAAAGTGTGATATTATTCATTATAATGTCCAGAAAGACATGCTTTTCTAATAATTTAAAGCACGATATTTTGTACATAATATTTAATTATATTTAAGTTATTGATGTTTTGACTTTCTTTGTCATAAATCCTAGTGAATGTAAACTACAGAATTCTGGTGATGTGTATTTCTTTTGTTGTTGTTGTGTGAGCTCAATTAAGGTTGTGGCAAAGATGTCATTATTCTCTTTCCTACTTGCCTGTGGTATTGTGAGGTCTTTCCATGGGTCATCAGGGTGAAACACTTCCGTATTCTTAGGGACTCAGTACTTCTCTAGGCACTTCTCTGTGCTTTGTACTGCTATTGTTGAAATTAATGCTATTTACATGACAGAATGCTCAAAGGGAAATATACATATATTTTTTAAACTGCTTAGTCTTATTTTTCACGGGATAACATTTAGCTAGAAAGAAGAAAAAAACAGCAGAAGGTGGTAGTTTGGGGTGTGGGAGGCTACCCTCCAGGGATGTCTTTTGTATGGGCTGGACTCCACTAAGGTTCAAGGAGAACTTGGTGGGATCATACCAGGGCATTCCAGCTCTTTGGCTCCAGTCCCTAATATCACCAGCCCTTATTAATTAGGATCTTTTTTTCTCATTTATCACCACAGCTATCTTTGCCCAAAATCTCTCTCCTGATCTCTTGCAGCAGTCTTCAAACCTTTCTCCATAACCCCAGGCTGTTTCAACTTAATTACTTTCCAAACTGAGGGATGTCCGAGGAGTGAATTGGAACCTAAGAGGAAACTAGTTACCTATAACTCAGGTCCACATAGGGCTTTGCATTGAAGGTGAATCTTCAACACAACTGGTCTTGAGGATGATGTGTGACAGATAGTAAAGTAAGAAGGTTCTTCTGAGATGCTGCAAGAGGCAGAGAATGCAGTGGGCTAGTGGGAGAAATCCCACTCTGCTGGACTTCAAAAAGACAGAAGAGTTTGAGGTTTTAGAAAAGAAGACTGGAGCTAGATTCAAGGGGCTCTTGAATTTCAGATTGGGAAGTCAGCAGGTACCAGAAGTTTACTAAAAGTTTTGAAATAGCATAAAAGGAGAGTGGTGCATTTGGAGGCATGCATCAGAAAGAATAACCTGGCATCTGAGTACAGGATGACGTGAGGAAGTGAAGGCCCAAGAGAAGACCACTGCAATGGCACAGGGAAGACCACAAGGATCTGCAGCAGGGTGATAGTGAGGTGAAGGTAGGAAGAATGGATCACACAGGGTGATACTGAATATTGTAGAGGGAGGGAAACAATGACCCAGGACATAGACCCATCTCTTACAGTCTTACAAAGCAACTATTTAAAAGGCTGGCAGAGCCAGGCTCGGTGGCTCAGCCTGTAATCCCACGCCTTTGGGAGGCTGAGGTGAGTGGATTGCCTGAGCCCGCGGGTTCGAGACCTGCCTGGGCAGCAAGACCTCATCTCTACAATAAATCAAAAAATCAGCTGGGCGTGGTAGCGCATACCTGTAATTCCGGCTACTTGGAAGGCTGAGGTGGAAGGATCACTGGAGCTCAGCAGGTCGAGGCTGTGGTGGCCGGGAGCGGCCACTGTACTCCAGTCTGGGCGACAGAGTGAGACTCCAACTCAAAAACAAAACAAACAAACAAAAAAAAACAAATAAAAGGCTGGCAGTTCTGAGACACATAATTAATTCATCTCCTTTGTGGTCTAAATGTTTATGTCCCTCCAAAATTTATGCTGAAGGCTAGCTGGTACACTGATGCCAATGGGATCTTAGAACACTTACCTAGCAGGGGAAGCGGGTACTATGAGAGACCAGCCCTCCTAAAGATAATTCTATTTTTTGCCCCCCCTCGTGCCTGCAGTCCTAATCCTAAGAACTTGCAAGCATTCAAAGGCAAGGGACTTCATCTTGTTAGCCTCTTACGGTCAAGATTTCCCCTCGTACTTTGTGAGCTTAGCTGGCTCCTCATTCAAACATGTGTCCACCATATTGAGACACATACCAGACCCATTGCTAAGGCAAAGAAGTTTCTTATCCTGTTGAACCAACTCCACAGGACCTATCATTAACGATCATGAATATGTATGCCACAATTCCAGTATACTTGGAAGCATGAAATCGCAGGGACTTTGGTTTTGATCCCAAAACTGAGCTTAACTGTCTGCGTCTCTTAGGATAAGAACATTTTCCCTCTGGAAATGTTAGTTGGGATCATACTGTGTCACAGGCAAGAAGTGAGGGACTCTGGTAAATACAAGTCCTTTCAGTTCTAGAGTCACATCTCTTAGAAAAGTGACCATTTTTGTTGGCTGGAGTAGACTAAGGAAGTAAAGTACCTAGAATGAAAACTACAGAGCCAGCCAGGGGCCGGCTTATTGAAAAAACATGTAGAAGTCAGATACCACCTATTTGGAAACAGGTTTTCTGTTAAAGTTCCAAGTAGCACATCCAAAGCCCCAGTAGCCATAAAGCAGCCAAGAGTCAACTGGGAAAGAGCGGCATCTTCCAGGCAGAGTCCACTTAAGAGCTCCAGCCAATTCTAACCTCTTTCTTACACAGCTTCAAGACCAAGCAGGACACAGAGATGCAGGTCCAGGGTTTAATGAAATCTTGGACCACAACTCCCAAGTTCCAAAGGCATGAAGACTCACTCAGAACTGATACCAGACCACAGCAAAAGACATAGCCCATCTGTTTTCCCCAAACCTTACCCAGCTCTGGGATTGTGTTATTGTATTTTAAATCACAATGAGCTTTTTTCAGTAAAATAAAACATAATATGATTTAAGTACTTAAACGATGGATGTATTATGTGCCCTGACTTGAATATTAATGTTTTAAAAATTCACACCTTTTCATAAACTGGTTCATCTCTGTGAACCCCCATTCATTCACTTAAAAACTGAGGGCCAGAACTAAGATCACTCAGAGCTGACACATCCTCTTGGGTTCATCTTGGTTTCACCCTTAGCCCAGACAGACCAACTGTGGCAGACCATGACTCACTTGACTCTCTCAATATCTCTGCTCTGTGTGTCTCCTCATTTCTTGCTTTCTGCCCACAGCCTCCTCTTGGGTACCATCTCGGTCAGGAGTTGACTCAGCAGCACACTTACTTGCCCAAGGCTCTGAAGTGTGGGGGAGTGAACACTCTGGGTGACAATCTTTCATCAATGAAGGGTGGAGGCAGATATTTAAATGTGTCTGCATCCTTCTTTCCAGTGGTTGATTCCAGGAGTCATTCTGTAGGCTTCTCATGTTGTCCCAGAAAAAATGTTTCCATTGTTAGCGGTGTCAATCTTGATAATGCACCATACACTGGCTTCTTTCGTCGCCCATATGATTCTCATTCCTCTCAATCTTGATTCCTGGGGTCTCTTCCCATCTGCAAACAGGTCCTCACCTCAATATCTGTTTTATGGACTCATTGTTTTATATAGTCAATATTTACCCCCCTTCCCCTTGGTCAATGCTTGGATTTCAAGTGGCAAGTTCACTGGGGCTAGGGCCATGAATTCAAGTGGTCACTTTGTTGGTGTCGGGGCTGAGAACAGGACTGAGGACTTACCAGTGTGTTCTTTGCAGTCAGGGCTGGGGCCAAGATGGAATACTCAACCAGCATGCTTGGTAAGGCTGGTCCCAGAGGGCAGCCTGCAAGTCAGGGCCAACAGGCCTGGGGCTAAATTAGCCACATAGCTAGGCGAATGACATGGTAGAAATGAATTGAGCAAACAAGTAAATGTATCAGATATAATGAAAGGCAAGTCACTTCATGTTGCAGAAGCTTCCATAAAAAAATATGGAAAGCTGAAGGGCTAGAAAAACTCTATGATGTTGGCCTGGAGCTGGTTGTATTGGTGTAAACTCATGGTTTTAAGGACAGAAGGAATGAAATAAGAAAGGAAGGAAGCAAGGAAATGGAGAGGTAAACACACACATATATACAAGGTACATGTTGGTTATATTCACTGAGAAAATCTAGAAACAATGGCAGATGGGTAGCAGTTTACACATTAGTGTCCAGTTTATAAATACTATTCTATACTAAAGAAACAAGAACTCCTGGGATAAATGGCTGACACTAGCACTGGACTATCTTGTTGTTTCCAAGAGAAATGAAGTATTTTAAGAACAACAGGGATGTGTCAAAAACATATAAGAACCAATCTGAAAGTCTCACACTGGCCAGTCTGGGACAATTTGATCACCAAAATAAATAAATTTTTAAAATTACAAAATAGTTTATTTTAGCCCATTAAGTAAAATGAAAGAGGATAACGTTTTAACTTAGAATTAAATACTAACCCATAAATACAGAAGGAATGGTAGAGTCAGAAAATCATCATTTGGCAACCATCAGAGTAAAAATTAATTCAGGCAAGAATCATCTACATATGATAAAATTAATGGGTGAAAATCTGATTAGGAACTGACTATCGACATAACCCCAACATATCTCCCCACAGCATAATTAATAATAGCTTATCAATTAATAAGCACAAAATACTTATTAACTAACATATAGAATTAAGAGAACTGCAGACAACAGTTTAACCAAGTAATAAAAGCTAGCATTGCCAGTAATGGGCTAAATTAATCTGTGTGTTTCCTGATATGGTGCGTTGAGAAGAACGCAGCATTGTTTCAATAGCTCTCCTGCTAAAAATACATAAACTGAATCTAATCATGAAAAAAAACCACTAGGCAAATCAAACTGAGAGAGATTCTGCCAAGTAACTGGTCTTACTGTCAAGGTCACAAAGACAAGGAAAGACTGAGGAATAATTCATATTGATGGAGGCTAAAGAGACATGACAGCCAAATGTAACACATGATCTTGAACTGGATCCTGAACTTATAAAGGATGTCTTTGAGACAACAAACAAAAATTTGAATGAGATATTTGGATCAGATAGTAATGTTGGATCAATGTTAATTTTCTGATTGTGATGTTTGTATTATTATTCTGTAGAAGAACTCTTTGTTTTAGGAAATAAACACTGAAGTATTAAGGTATAATCAGTCATTCTGTCTACAACCTAATCTCAAATGATTCAAAAAACTCTTTATGGATAGGTAGATAAATCTATATAATATATGCATGTGTATATAGCTACAAAACATATATATACAGACACACACGCATATACATACATAAATGGACTCAAACTGCTCCACATCTGGTATTGCAGCACTTAGAATTATCATTCTTTTAAAAAGTTAGCCATTCTGATTGCGTGTATAATTTTATCCCATGTGGTTTTAATTTGTATTTTGCTCATGACTAATGAGACTGAACAGTCATTCAAATTTTTTTTGGATATTCTGTTTTATAAGGTTCTAACCTACGTCTTTTTTTCTCCCATTTTTCTTTCTTTTTTGTTTTAGGTTTTTTATTTAAAGATGTGGGGTACAATTCAGGGTTAGGTATACAAATTTTCATTACGCATATACCCTTGTTGATGAGGTGTGTCCACCCCCCCACAGGAGATTCCCACTACTGCCAATCCTGTCCCCACCCTCCCCTGGCAGTTTCCTTTCCTTATAGTATTGTGATAATTGTTCAAGTTCTGCTTATAAGTGAGAACATGTGGTACTCAGTTCTTTGTCTCTGTGATAGGTCACTCAGTACTATAGATTCTAAGTCCATTCAGGTTGCTGTGAAGTTCATAATTTTGTCCTTCGTTATGGCTGCATAATATTCCATCATGTATATGTACCACATTTTTTTTTTGTCCAGTCCTCTTTTGATGAGCAGCATGGTTGGTTTCATGTTTTTGCTACTGTGAACAATGCTACAATAAACATGCATGTGCAGGTATCTTTTTCCTTTCTTTTCTTTTCTTTTTTGAGTTGGCATCTCACTCTGTCACCCAGACTGGAGTGCAGTGGCCGCTCCTGACCACTGCAGCCTCCAGCTGCTGGGCTCCGGCGATCCTTCTGCCTCAGCCTTCCAAGTAGCTGGAACTACAGGCGCGTGCTACACACCTGGCTAATTTTTGATTTCTTGTAGAGATGAGGTCTCGCCAAGTTGCCCAGGCAGGTCTCGAACCCGCGGGCTCAGGCAATTCACTCACCTCAGCCTTCCAAAGCACTAGGATTACAGGCTGAGCCACCGAGCCCGGCTACAGGTATTTTTTTCATAGAGTGATTTGAGTTTTCCTCAGGTATATTCCCAGTAAGGGGATTATAGGGTCATATGAAAGGTTAATTTTTAGATCTTTTAGGAATCACCAAACTGTTTTCCACAGAGGCTGTACTAGTCTACACTCCCATCAACAGTGTAGAAGTGTTCCCTTTTCCCTGCATCCTCTCCAGCATCAGTTGTTTTTTCAAGTTATTGATGATGGCCAGCCTGACTGGAGTTAGGTGGTATCTCAATGTGGTTTTAACTTGCATTTCTTTGATGACTGAACATTTTTCCGTGTATCTGTTTAGCCTATGTCTTTTGTCACTTTTATTTATTGTTGTCTTTTTGTTATGAATTAGAAATATTTTCCACACCTGAATACACCTGAATCTGTTGTCGGGTGTATCAATTGAAATATCTTCTCATAATCTGTGATTTGCATTATTATTCTCTTACGGATGCTTTTTGATAAAAAACAGGATTATAATTTCAATATAGTCCATCTATTATTTTCCTTTGTGGTTAATACTTTAGTTTTCATTTAAGAATACTTTACCACAATGTCTCAAAGATAATCTCTTATGGTATTTTCTAAAAGCTTTATATTTTTTCATTCACATTTAGAGCTACAACCCACCTGGAATTAATTATTGTGGATGTTTAAAGATAGGGACAAAAATTTTATATTTCCCAATAACTATCCCATTGAGCCAGCATTAAACTTGGATGGATTTGGAGTCAATCATACTCAGTGATTTATCACAGAAACAAAGAACTGAGTTCCATATGTTCTCACTCATAAGGTGAGCTTGAACAATTATAATGCTATAAGAAAGTGATTGGCAGTAGTGGAAAACTGTCAGGGGAGGGGGGATGGGACTGACAGCTGGGGGAAACTGCTAGGGGAGGGAGGAGCATACCTCATCAACAAAGGTACCTGCATGATCAGGGTTTATAAATGTAACCCTTAATTGTACCCCACATCTTTATAATAAATAAATTAATTAAAAATAAAGAAAAGAAAAAATTCCTGACTACTTTAGAGTACAAACTTAGTTGTAAATTTAATATCCATATATACCTGATTCTATTTCTGGACTCTCTAATCTATTTCTTTAGTATATTTATCTATTCTTGGTCAATGGCACATTTTAATGATTATAACTTTCTAATAAGTGTCAGTATCTGGTAGTACAAGTTCTACACCTTTGTTCTTTATGATTGTCTTGACTATTTTTGTCTTTTTATTTCTCCTTAAAAAGTTTAGAATAAGCTTATTAATTTTCATGAAATATTTGCTTGGATTTAATTGGGATTACACTGGATTTGTGAGAGAGTTGGCAATCTTATTATACTGACTCTTCCTATTCACATGTGTGGCATATCCCACTGCTTATTCCAGTCTCCTTTAATTTCTCTCAGTAATGCTTAGAAATTTTCTGTGTATTGCACATGTCTTGTCAGATTTATTCTTAGATATTTGGGGTTTCATAAGCTATTGGAAGTCACATCATTTCTGAAATGTCATTTATTAATGTTAGTTGCTTATATGTAAAAGTAAAATCAATGTTTGCATTATGAGCAGGCAATCATGCTAAATTCACTTGATTATTAATAGTTTATCTGTAGACGGATATTTTTCACAAAAACAATGTTTCATGCAAAGAAATGACAGCTTTGTTTCATCCCTTATAATCGTATAAATTTTATTTCAGATTCTTGTATTGTATTCCCTAGGACCTCCAGTGCAATGATGAATAAAAATAGACATTCTTGTCTTCATCCTGCTCTCAAATGAAAGGTTTCAATATTCTACTATAGTCATGCTTGTTTTAGGTGTTTTATAGATACTCTTTATCACATTAAGGAAGTTTCCTACATTTGATAGTTTACTTAGTACCTTTTTTTTGTTTGTTTAGCAAAAATGGCCTTTGAAATTTGACTAATGATTTTTTATTCAAACGATCATATGATTTTTCTACTTTATTTTGTAATTGTGGTGAAGTACATTCATTGGTGTTCCAATTTTAAAATAAGCTGGTATTTTAAAAATCAAATTAATCTATTTATAATATATTGTTATTTCAGATATCCCTGGATTCCATTTGCTAATATTTTATTCAGGACTGTCATACCTATGCTCATAAAAGATATTGGCCTATAATTTTTTTTCTTGAAAGTTCTTCTCAGCGTTTGCCATCAACATTGTAGTGATCTTGTAAAATGAACTACAATGTGTTCCTTATTTAATTATTCTCTGAAAAAAAGTTTTTATAAAATTAGTATGTTTACCTTGTTTAATGGTAAAAAGTAAAGAACCCTGGAATTTCTCTGTAAAAATGTTTTAAATTACAGATTCAATTACTTAGTGGATATGAAATACTAAAACATCCTATCTTTTTTGTTTATCTTTAATCAACTGTTTTTTCTCAAATTTTATCCATTTCATAAAATCTTCAAATACATTGATCTGAAGTTGCTCACAATATCTTGCTTA